GACTTACCTCAATAATTTTCACAGCAACTAATCTTTCACACTTGCCAAGAATCTGAAAAACTCTTATATGAGTATCCATGAAACCAAGTCAATAAAGCATTGATTAATCACAGAAATCAGAAAAGACCCTGATCTCATAATCATACAAAACAGTAGCTTTAAGGCTAAACATTGATAAAATCGAAAAAGGCGGTGAAGATCAGTGTTACAAATTCAAAGTTTCAGACAAAAAAGCATGAATTAAAGAGACATATTTGAAGACTAGATACCAAACAACAACACCAACAAATTAAGTTTTATATATCATAATTTCGAAATCAGTAATATGAAAAGTCAAAAAATGAATTATGTTAAGTTATAATTTTAAATTTTCTTACGTCACTTATTTCTATCAATAATCCTATATTTTCATCTAATCCTTAACTTTTATATAATTTCTTATTATTTATATTTATATCTTTCATGATTTACTTCTAAAAATTTCTTATTAAATCTGCCTATCTGTTACCATATTATTAGTCCCAAGTCTGAATAAAGTAAAGAGAACTGTGATAGATTGATGACCAACGTAAAATATAATCAAACCATGATAATGAACCAAAATAGGATCCAGGTATCAAAATCAAACTAAAACACAGAAAATTGCAAACATAATAGTTTAATCTAAATTGGAACCCAGATATCAAAAACAAAGTCTATTGTCATGTTTTATTAGACAATTGAATGTTTTAATTCTAATAATAAGTAATTAGTAATTTCTTTAATCACAAGTAACTTATTAATTAATATAATATGAAAATTACAATTAATCTTAAAAAATCCTTATTTCTAATAGATATCATTAGTCTATTTTAAGAAATTTATACTAATTTTTAATAAATTTAAAAGAGAATATCTTAATTTATCTAAGCGATTAATAAGGTATAAATACAGCTTTGGGTAGGGATAATTGTAATTTAGTAAGGAGGATAATATTACAAATCACTCTTAAATATTATAATAAAATGTTCAATATGATATTTAAATTTTAAACATTTTTAATGTAATATCTAAACTATTAATTTATTAATTAATGTGATATCTAAAAAATTATTTGTCAAAAATGTGTATTCGTTTGGAACTAATAATATTAAGAGTGAATATCATATTAATCAATAAATTTATAATTTTGATATCTCATTAAAAATTTTAAAAATTTAAATATCATATTAAATATTTTAATATAATTTAAAAATCATGATATTAACCCTAATATGGGTGTATAAAATAAAAAGCTTTTATATAAAAAAAATCTCCAAAAATTTAGTCATATCATATATCATATGTCCAAAATCTTAAGTTCAGCAATAAATAATGAAATGAGAAAAAAAATCTACTAAGGTTTTCAAAATTTCCTCCCTGTCTCTTATCATTTTTTCTTTTCTTTCTCATAATTATCACCTCCTATAGCACTAGTCTAATGCTATTTTCAGCACTTAGGAAATTGTATGAAGGCTTCCCTTTTCCCATTCTTATCAAAATCAAAATAATTTAACTTTGATTATATATCAAGAATTCATAATTTTTATTGCTTTATGTCCAAATCAGGAATACTTATTGAAAACTGATATTGACCCATTTGCTAATGCTAGTCAATAAAGGAAATGAGTAAATACAATGTCACTTTCCTCTATCTATTTCAACTTTTTCCCAAGAAAAAACCAACCTTCCATGATCTTTCTTTCCTATACATGTCATTTCTTGGTTTTCGGTACTTTTACTTTTACAAGCAACACCCATATTTGATTCATTGAAGTGGTTGATGAAATTATCTTGAAGCAGTTTATACTTCTCAACCCTCAACATGATATTTTGGTTGTTGGGTTTCAAGATTTACTAACTTTCAAGCCAGTGATTTCCTCTTACCATTGCATGAAATAATATCCTATAGCTCTAATGTTAATGTTTTTCTTCACTTCTTCCCTATTACCACACTTAGGGGTTTAGCATAATTCGGTTCCCACTGACTTGATAGATTAAAATTGACTAAATTAAATTAAATTAATTTGATTAATTAAGTTTTACCAATGATCGGTTAAATAAAAAGTTTAATTAATTAATTTTATTTTTTAAATTAATAATCAAATTAATTAAATTGACTTAATCAAAATAAGTTGGTTAATTTCGATTTTATAAGAGGTTAAATAAATTAATTTTTAATTTTTAAAAACCAAAACAATTGATCACTTATTTTAAATTTGATAATTTAAAATATAATAAAATGATATGATATGAATATAAAATATTAAAGTGACAGAATTTAAAATTTTAATAATAAAGATATATAAATTTAATAAAATAAAAAAATTATTTTATATTAATATAAATTATAATACATAATTTTTATATAAAATATAATATAATTATATAAATTTTAATATTTTATATTATACAAAATACATGAATCTTTCAAACCTACTTCTAACTTCAACTCAAAAGTTGATATCCCAATCTGAAGGATGAAACAAAATGTGGGTTTCTGTGTTTGAGCCCAAAATTTTAAAACGTCAGTCAGGCCAAATCTAGAAAATATCGTTTAAAAAAGAAAAAGATTTTTAATGAATATAATTGTTCTGAAAGTGGAATAAAATTCAGGCCTTTGGTTACTGCACCATATGTCGGATTGGATCTTATCTTCGTCGCAAGCTTACAAAAACTTTAGTTAAAGCTAAAACGCAGTCTCATTTTGAAAAACTCGAAAGTAACCGACAATTTCAGTGAAAGGACAAAGGATCTGTGTGTCATTTTCCTTAATTTTCTCATTGAAATGTGAAATGTTCCATGCACCTTCCCTCTGTTTTAAAACTAGCTAGTTGGATACTTTAACTGAGTAACATGAAATTTTAAATATACGGTAGAGTGATACGATAAAAAAAATATGAAAATAATAAAATTTTAATTTTTAATAAAAATTAAATATACGTTTGATAAAAATTAAAAAATGTTTTACATATTAAATATATTTATATTAATTATGATATAGTAATTTATATATATTTTTGGTTGAAAAAATTTAAAAATAAATAAATTGTTCGATTTTTAAATTAAAATAAAATATATCATACATAACAATTTAAAAAATTAATTGAAATTTATGCATTTAAAATAATCCCAACATAATATAACTAACTAGAATCGAGTGATTTTTGTCAATTAAACTAATATCTTATTGATGATTAGATAATTTTTAAAACTTTACGTAATCGACACAAAATAAATATAAGATAAATACATTAATTATCAAATTTACTATCTGATCAATTTATTTTTTTTTCATTTTGGATACAAACTTTAAACTTAGTTACCTCAAATGACTTGAAAGTTGACAGCTTTCGGTTTCTAGGGCAAGATATCAATTTTCATAGCAAGGTTTATAGAAAAATTTGGAGCCCTTGAAATGGTTCCCCTCCTCTCCTACTCTCCTATTTCATAGCAAGGCTCTATCTAAAAGTTCTCCATATAGAAAGAATTAGTACATTCTTAAATCCCATTAAATTTTCACTCATTAATGTGCAAATATTAAAGAGAGATGTTGGCATGCCTGCTTTCAAACTTTGAAAAAATTTGGTGATGGTTATAAATGATTAAAGTAAAAAAAAAAAAAAACTTAGATTATAAGTTTTTAATCTCAAAATTTACACTTCCCACAAAATTAAAATAAAACTTACAAAATTATGAACGCTATATTATACACTCCTAATCCTTACTTCTTAAAATAATAAAATAATTTTTATTTGATAAATTTTTAAAATTGAGATCGAATTGAGATGGGATAAAATTTTTTTATTGAAGATGAATTAAGGATTATTATATTAATAAAATTATTATTTAATGTTTTAATTTAAAAATTAAATTTAATAAAATATTATGATGTAATTTATATTTTTTAAAAATAATATTTACATTATATTCTATTATATTAAAATAATTAAATTAATTTTGTATCAAACATAAATTATACAATATATATAAATCAAAATAGATTATGGTTTGATAATACAAAATAAAATAAAACAATTAAAAAATCAAATCAGATCGTGATGCCTATCAAATTACCATCTCAAATCACATCAATGAAATGCAATATGAATAAGAAAAAGTCCTAAAGGGCATATTAGGAAAGTAATATTTATCTATAACAAAACTAAAAAGCAAACGAAAAAAGTAATCACTAATCTTGGATGGACCGTATAAAAAAATTATATTTAATTTTATATATTATTAATTAAATGATATTATTTCATTAATAATGTAATTTAAATTAGATCATTTTAAGTAAGTTTTTAAAAATTATTAATTGTTTTATATTTATTTTGATGATTGATATTTAAGTTTTTAAAAATTATTAATTGTTTTATATTTATTTTGATGATTGATATTTATTTATTAATAAAATATTATCATTTAATTTATCAAAAATGTATTTTTTTCGTTTTAATTTGTTTATTTTGCATTGATTTTCATGAAATTTAAAAAACTTGATTTTAATATATTTAATATTAATATTAAATTTTTTTTATGAAATTAAAGTTTCATCATTTTTAATGTTAAAAATAAAAAAATATAAAAAATAATTTTGAAATAAAAAAATAAGAGTTTTGGATGTTTTTAAAAAATAAGATATAATTTTAAAATATTCAAAACAATGGATAAAAAAATAAAGTATACAAAAATAAAATCTATATATCAATAATACATTAGATAAAATTTATTAAAAAACAATAACTAAAGAACTCATCTTTTTTTTTTAAATCTTATAATTTAAAATACTACATAATTATTAATACAAAAATTTATAAAAATAAAAAAATTAGATAATTTAAAATTTTACAAAATTTATATATAAATTTAATAAAAAAATTTTCTTATTCTTTTAATAAAATATGCCACAAATAGACAAATTATCATTACTTTACTTAATTTCACCCATGACAGATCTCATTTTCACATCTAAACTCTAAAAAAAAACCGTTTACTTTTTTTTTTCCCCTCTCTTCACTCCCCTAAAAACCACACCAACCCTTTCAGTTTCTGTGTCTCCCATTTCTATAACCATGGAGATCCAAGAAAAGCTGCTAAAGTTGAAGTACCCCATAATCATCACCCTCACTCTTTCAATTACCCTTACTTCCCTCGTCGTTTTTGCGCCTTCTTTCCTCACCATTTTAACCTACTTTTGGCCTCTTTTGCTCTCCACTGCTCTCTTCCTTGTTGCTGTTATCTTCTTTGGCAAGACCTCTGCTCATCCTGCCGGCTCTGACTCTCCGGCGGACAAGGCCGGTGAAGGCATCCTTAACTATGTTGCCGCCGGCCAAACCCAACTCACCGTTGACAGTTACAACAAGGCTGAGTAGGAGTTGCAACTCGTTATCACTGTAATCTCTAACTCTCTCTCTCTTTGTTGTAACTTTCACCTTTTTTTTTCTTTTCTGTTAACTGTAAATTTTGGAGGTGTAATAATTATTATTAATTACTTAGATGAGTAGTATTATTTTTTAATTTTTTTTTTTAAGATGAGAATGAATGATTAAAGTTGGCAATCTAACTCCAATTCGTTTGATTTTCATCCGATTTTATATTAATTTTTTATAAATTGAATTTCAAATCGAATTTAATTAATTTTTTAATAAAAATCGAGATTGGACTGATAGATCCAATTTACATAATATATATTTTTATTATTTATTTAATTTTATATTTTAAAAATAATATTTATTAATTTCATATATTTTTATTATATATATTAAAAATAATATTTTAATATTAAATTAAATCAAATCGAATTTAAATATTTATTATATAAAATTAGATCAAATTTATATTAAAAAAAATGCCAACTCTATGTACTGTCATCTTTCTATATGATTGGGTCATTAGGGATAGGGATTGCCGTTTTTGCAATTTTTTAGTAAGTCATGATTGTGATTTGATAGTGATTGAATTAGGATCTAGTCATTTTAGTTGTTTTATTAATTTGTATGAAAATGAGATTGAATTTTATTTTTTTCAAATGAGAAATAACATTATTATCATAAAAAAATAATAGTATTATAAAAATTGTTGCTAATGTGATTAATAAATTATATTAATTATTAAAATTTTACTTGATAATTTTTTTAAATAGTAAATAAAATTAAAAATTAAAAACATATAAAAATAAGTGTTTACAAAATAAGTTTAAAAATGATAACTATTTGAATTGGATTCATTTTATTTTTTTAAATATTATATAATATTATAAAAATTTAAAATTTGATTTAAAATTGAATTGAATCAAATTTTACTTACTAAGCTTGGTTTATTGATTTGTAATTTATAATTTATAATTTTTATATATTATTTTAATATAAAAATTTAATATATTTAAATAAATTTTTATATAAATTTAATTTTTTTATTTTATAAAAATTTAAAATATATATAAAAAATAAAATGTATATAATTTGATTCTATTTTTTTAATTTTTTACTTTTAAAATTTGATTTAAATTTAATATATATTTAATATTTAAATTTAATTTAAATTAAATAAAAAATTAATATCAAATAATATAATTTTAAATCAATTTTCGAATTTTTCGTTTTTTGTGCTTAAAATAGTAGGTGTACTCTAATATTCCCTCACGTTTAATCTGTGACGTTCACGTTCTGATGTGGGGCTCAGGCAGGATGGCTGTCTACAATCTTGTTCTTATGTTTTTGATCGTACGACCAAAATGGTCCAGTGATGGGTCCCACAATGGTTGTGCAACAGTAAAATTCAAAGAGGATTTTCCATAATGATCTAGTAAGTATTGGGACCGCTGTTTAGATGGGTCCCCTTTTTAACACAATCATTCAGCCTTTTGATCTTGATGTATCATGATCGAATTTTCGTGATGGTTAGCTGTAAACAATAATTTGATTGGCGTATGATGGACCATGGTCCTGGGTCACTTCGACTTTGACTGGAATGATTGTCGGGTGCCCATGGTTGGACAACGCATGTTATGGGTCGAATCCTTGCAAACGAGCCAGCCTAGCCGATCCACTTTGTGATCGTCGATAAAATAATTCGTATTTTTTAAATTTTGATATATTAAAATTAGATTTTTTTATTTTCAAATTGAAGGGCGGATTGAATTTTTTTTTTTTTTTTTTTAAGTTGGATTTGAGTTTTAAGGATATCGATTTAATTTGATTCGATTTGACTTTAACATATACAAAATATTTTTTATTATTTATTTAATTTTATATTTATATAATATATTAATAAAATTTTTATTTAAATTTTACTTTAAGATATTAATTTAATAAAAAATATTATATTTATATATAATCAAAATATAATTTATATTAAAAATAATATTTTATAAATATTATATTAAAATAAAATTATTAAATTAATTTCAAGTTACGTTGATTGTGGTTTATGAATATATGTCTATGTCTAGTATGAAAAAAAATTGTAATTTTAGTTTCAAGTATAAATATTAAAAGATTGATTTAGAGCCGGATCGAGCGAAAACTTATCCTAATTAATTGTCATTTTTAGATGTGATATGAAAATAATATAAAAAAAATTAAATTGATATGAGTTAAAATTTTAATAAAAATTATATATGAGTTTAATAAAAAAATATTTTATTTTTTGTGTTAGGATGAATTATAAAGTTTAATTTTTGTGTAAAATATAATATAAATATATAAATTATCAATATTTTACGTCACACTACAAGAACCGTACCAAGTTAGGAGGTGACTCATACCATAGATCTGGTAATTGATATATTTTTATTACATTTATTTTTATGTTAAACATACATTATATTTATGTAGGGTTTGAAAGGTTCTTTTCTTAGGAGCATTTTCATCATCTGTTAAGGTTAGAGAGCTTGCAGCCATTGCCAACTTTGCCAACTTTGCCAACTTCGCCTGCTTTGCAGCATTGGAGGCCATTTGAGTTGAAGTGATCCAGCAATAAGACCTACCTGCTAGAAGCATTACAACATAGAATTTCATCAATTTTAACATCCTTTTTAAACATTTAAATAAATTTGTAGAGCTAGAAACTAAATATATATATATATATATGTGTGTGTGTGTGTGTGTGTGTGTGTGTGTGTGTGTGTGTCGAAACTATCCCAAGTCCACATGTTTGATCTTAAAAGATAATTGAAATCTACATATTTGTGTTTGTGCTGCAGATATCAGCCATAAGTATGCTGATGAGAGTACGTTCAGAGTTTTTCGAATTCGATTCCGGGATCCAATGTAGTATTTACCATGTAGATTTCAAGAAGATTTTGGATTGAAAATACAAAAACAAAGTAGATTCTTCATCACAATTACTTGAGTTGTTGAGCATGAAATGGCTTGTCATCTATATTTTACTTTTTCTGAAGCTGCATTGGGATGCTTCTCGAAAGAACGAACATATCGTTTTAGTTTCTCCAATTAACATGCACCATTGAACATTTGGGTAATAAGCAGTGAAGACAAAGACACACAGCATGACCTAGGAATCATTGACCTGTATTATGTGTCCATGTCCATCCTTCATAGGCAGTGGCTGTGAACAACTTGTTGAAGAGCAATTAGTCAATAACTGGAAACAGTTATATATATAAATGATTAAAAGTTGGTGTTACAGATTTAGTGAATAGCTCTAGGATTATTCACTTGTTCAGCCAACAGAAGGCGGCTAATGCTAACTGTTCTTTTACATGTATGGTGTCTATGACCTCTTAGTTTCAACTGATTGAGCTAGAATTATGTCAGATACCGACAAGGTTCCAGACTGGTCGACATCCAGCACCTCAAATTCCTCCATGATAAGTGAAATATCTTCTTGGCAAATCTTCCCCATCTCTTTAAGTTTGAATAGAACAAACTCAGCAGCCCTGTAAAAATGAAGGAAAAGGAAAGATGTTATATGATGGAACTATCAAAAGGAGAGCAGATCACAGAATCTAAGCACATAATCTGCAAATCCTTACCCAACAACTCCATCATCATCAAGATCAGCTGCCTCCAAATCCACATTTGTCACTCTTCGGGTAAGAACCCACTTGGCCAGTGCTTTTTGTCTGTTCTCAGTGTTTAGCTCAGCAATGTAGAGAAAAAACTGAGCCAGGCAAATAGTGCCAGCCAATATCCAAAATACAGCAAAAATACGACCCCCTTTAGTTGAAAAGCTTTTATCTCCATATCCCAAGGTTGTGATGGTAGAGCAAACGCAATAGAATGCATCAACAAGGTCTAAATTCTCAACTTTATATAGGAAGACGGTCCCGGATAATATAAGCAAAACAAGAAGGATCAAGGCTGTATAAAACTTGTATTTCACCCTATTATTCTCAATCTCCTTTAGAATCTCAAGTTCACCAACTTTTTTATGCATATGGAAGGCTTTAACCAGCAATGTTTCTTGCTTCTCTACCAAGTAGTCTGCAGCTTTGGTCAGTACAAGTCCGATTAGAGCCATTCCGGTGAAGACGAAAGCACAGGCTAGTAGTTTTGCGAGGTTGCTGTTAGGAACAAGGTCACCATATCCAACAGTTGTCATTGTAACAACACAGAAATAAACAGCATCAAGAATTCCATTTGTTTTATCCCCTTTAATTTGGTTCCTGATTATATAGAAGCAAATGGTGCCTAAGCCAACGTATACCGTCAAGAATAAGGCTACCTTCTTAAAACTTGGGTGAAGTCTCCCAAAAATGGACTCAGAACGTGGAAGTGCAGCATCACCATTGATATCAGTAGGACAAAACTCTGCTAAAGGAGCACTTCTAATGCGTCGAAGTCTTCTCCTCTTTGGTGCATCACCATTAGTCTTTTGAGTTGTAGATGTTGCTAATCCTGATAGCAAAGGCTGGTTTGCACCATTACAGGCCATTATGAAGATTTAGCACACACAAATCACTACCAGGACCTAGCTCTGCAATAATCAGATTCGTGGATTTTAAATTAACCAACGTGTTTATGTACCATGAAGTATAGGACTTCAGTATAATGTAAATAGCCCAATGTTTGCAAACAAACTGGAACATAAAACGTGCTTCTGGCATTAAGAAGTACCAGGCTACCAGCCTTTAAATAAAAAAGGGGGGGGGGGGGGTTCAAGGGGGCTGTGAAACCAACCAAGCAGCATGGCTCTTTGATTTGCTAATTATCATGTGATCTTGTTTTTGTTTCAAAGCAGATCCGACAATATTAAACACGAAATAAACAGACACGGATACACAAATTGCTAGGCCTATTTCGAAGTCAATCTACTCAGCCTCCAAATTGTGAATTTTCTTTCAATTACAAGTAACATATCGGATTTAAGCAAAGCATCTGGCAGTTCATCGAAATTCATCCTGATTCAGTGTTTCTTAAGCCGAATCCTAAATTTCACTCTTTAAATCCCTGATCTGTAAAGCGTCCCAAAGCCAAACATAATTTCCAACAAAAGAAACTAGCACAATCAAAAGTGAAATCCAATGCAGTGAAATCAACGTTTGATCCAGCAAAACTCTTAACTTTTCACATGATCATATATGAAAAAGGCCAGCAAGACTCATATTTTTAACATCAATAACCAATAGTAAAAATGCCAACGACGCTTTACTCAGATCAAGTAAAAAAAATCCTGAGGTTGATAGTTATGCAAAGTAACCGGTTTTAAAGAAAGCCATGGCTACAAACTTGGGTAGCCATGAAAGTTCATGATAACTTAGAACCATAACTGAAACTAATAAAAAAATGATCTACCCGGAAGGTTCTCGAAGTGAATTACCTGGGGAAACTGGATCTTGGAAGTGAAGCTATGGAGAAGAATTAGGACAGCTAAAGCTTTTGGAAATTGTTGGAAGATCCAAGTCTCTGTCAGTTCACAGTTAAAGTTTTGTCTTTTTTGTTGGTAATTGGTCGGGTTCACTTTTCAACTGAAACTTGGCATTGATTGAAGGGATGGATTATCCTTTCTTTTTTTCATTCCACTCTCCATAAATGTCTAATCTTAGGTGTGAAGGTTGATAAAGGTTAGCATAAATTAGTTGTGCTTTTATTTCTGGGGGTAGATTTTGTATGACTGGATCAAGAATCGGAGTAGAAGCAAAGATATAATTAGGGCTTGAGAAAAAAAAGAGAAAATCCAAAATTAATTAGAAATGGCAGTGTTTGTTTTGTTTAAATTTTTTTTATTTGGATCGATTTGGATTGGATATTTTAAAATTTTTAATTCGGTTTCTGTCGGTTTTTGAATCATAAAATTAAAAATAAAAATATTTTAATCAAATTATTTTTATTAGTTTTTTATAAAATTAATTATTTTATATTTAAATATATTTACAAATAATATTAAAAAAAAAAAGATTAAAGAAAATTCAAAAATCAATTAATCAAACTAATAAAATTTTGTTTAAATCAATTTGATTTTTTAAAGAGATCGTTTTAAATTCAAGTTGAATTTTTAGAATTTATAATATTATACTTCAATTGAAATAATCAAATTGAATCAAATTCAACAAATTATAATCTTATACCAATTTAAAGGTCCATATTAATTATAGACATTCAATTTGATTCAGACTCGGATCAATTGGACATGATCCAATGGGGTCAACTAGACTTAAAGATTTATTTATTTATTTATCTTTTATATATTATTTGTTATTTATTTATTTCTTCTTCTTTCTTTCTTTTGTTCTTCTAGAATTTATTCCTGACTACTCTTCGGTTGCTAATAATGATTAAGATAATAATAAAAAGAGAATATTTTGCTAAGGATCGGGATTGACAGAGTTGCAATAGGATTCAAAGACTCTAGGATGAATTTGATGATCTGTGGAACCTAATCAAAATGGAAGTCCGAATTAATAACAAATTCTGTGATTAATCGTTATAAATACATATTGATCAAAGACAATAGGGGATAACAAAAAAAGAAAAACGTAAAAATACAGAGAGACGAATCAGATAGCTAAAAAATAGAAGGCAGAGTCTAAAAATATTCTAGGAATGGTTAGAAACAATTTAAAAATTTTAGGAATTTTTGGAGAATTTTTGGCCTTTTTTTTTTGAAAATTTTTCAGAATCCAACGAAATTTTTTGGGGAGATTTAAGTTTTTCGATGAGTATTTTGGTCAACTTTGAAGTTTTCGACAGCTTTTCCAGATTTTGGCAGAACTTCAATCGAAATTTGAGTTTCGTTTAGAGAGAAGGGGGGAAAAGAGAAGAGAGAGAAGAAGAAAGACGCATATATTGAAAAAGACTAAAATTTGCCTTTTATAGTGCCATAAAACGATGTCGTTTTGGCGTTAGTAAATCCTAGGATCCTCGCGTTTTCATTCGGGTGACTTGACCCGTTGCGCTGACCCATTTCAGCCCACTCCACGGATCCTACTGTTAAGCCGAGCCGATTGCTAGTCGAGCCACGTTTTGAGCCGTGGTTTCTGTTTTAAGCCAAGCTGATCTCAACTGCAAGCTAAGCCATTTCCATTTTTTTTTGTATTTTATTTATTTATTTATTTAAAATTTTATGTTTATGTATTTTAGGAGTATTTTTTTATATAATTTAATTTAATAAAATAATAAAAATAACAATTTTGAGAATAAATATTAATTATCTAATGATGAAATTTATAAAAATTTCAAATGGTAAATTTCTATAAAATTTCTAAGTGAGAAATTTTATCTAAATTTGTCACAAATGATAAAATAATTTAGATAAAATTTTAATAACAATAATTAATATTTATTTTCAAAACAAAAAAAATTAAAAACATAAAAAGCATAAAAATATAAAAATTTTTGGAATTAAATACAAATTACCCAATGATGAGATTCTTAGAAATTTCAAATGGTAAATTCTTAAAAAATCTCTAGGTGATAAATTTTCTCTAAATTTGGCCCAAATGATGGAATGATTTAGATAAAATTTCAATAAATAATTTTATCTTTTTTAAATAAAAATTTGGATTGAAAATATTTGATAATTATCTAAGGATGAGATTCTTAGAAATTTCAAATGGTAAATTTTTAAAAAATCTTTAGGTGAGAAATTTTATCTAAATTTGACCAAAATTGTGGAATAATTTAGACAAAAATTTTCAATAAAAGTAATTGTCATATTATTTTCTTTCCAAAGAAAAAATAAAATTTTTTTTAAATAGGCCCAAATGGTGAAAAATTTTAGAGATTCAAAAAGAAAAAATATTTCTAATTTGGCCCAAATGGTGGAATAATTAGATATATTTTTAACTAATAATAATTAAACCTTTTTTCGACGACAAGCCTCTTCAAGGAAATAAATGAAATTCTTGAATACTCTTGATGTGAAGAAATATTTTTTAAAGAGTTCTACTAGATTGATGGAGAATCTTAAAAATTGTTTTCAATATTTAACTTAAAATTTGAAACAATTAGACTCAATACCTTAGGATAAATTCGAAATAATATGGTACCATTCTTCAGATGGGCATGTGGGGGGTGCTATAACCTTTCCATATGTAATCGACTCTTGAACCCTGTTCTGATTAGTAGACCCGAACTTATTTTTTTAGGGACCTTAGTCAAGCTTAAGGAGTTCCTTAAAATGAAAGATTAGAAAAATTGGTGGCGACTCCATTCATTTGATAAATCTAGCTATAGATTTTTGAATCTATATGTTATGACAGTTTGGCGACTTCACTGGGGACGCTAAAGAGTTAAACCATAATTTTTGAATTTATCCTATCCTTTGAACTAATGGTTTTAAGTTATTTGTTTACTAATGTTTTTCTTTTTTTGTTTCTTATTTGATTTATGGGGTCGATAACCATATGTTCCTTCACACACACTATCACATTACATAAGCTCTATGCTCGAGCTTCATCCCTCTTAGGGCAACGTAAAGTACCTACGCTCTCATGGAATGATAATCTCCGTAATGGCTAACGAAATACTCCCATTCAAATTGAATCTTTTTCGTTGGTAGCCTATGATGGGCGAAGATTGGAATGCCTTACTAGTTTATGATAGATAATGATGTAAGGAACAATTTGAGAACCTTTTAGTGATCAAAATTGTTTAACCCTACATATAGTTCACCCCTAAGAAACCAACCTAAGATAGAGCCCTTCCTATCTATCAATATATATACCCAAAATTAAGACACAAAAAGGAACAATTTGTTATCTAATCATTTTGTCTGCTTGGTTTTGTGCATCTATACCATCTTCATGTCATTTCATTCTATGCATCATTTTCATTCTCATGTTCTAGTATTATCATATCATTTCATTTTATGCATCATTTTCATGATCATGTTTAATACTATCATTTGCATCATTCTCATATAGGAAATATATACCACATATCAGTTATTGATAAATCAGATCTCACACTTACATCCATGAAAAGTCAAATGCAACCAAAGTCTACATCAGTCCATTATGAGTCTGCTCATCAATTGAAATCAAGTCAGAGAAAGGTCAAAGAGAATAAGAAAATTGCTTGCCTGAGGGTTTTATTTCATCATTACCCAAGAAAGTTCATCTCGAGCTACAGCAAAATGATTTAACTGACTTAAGTAGTGTTTGGGATGCATTAGTAAAATAAGACAAGAGGCATTTGAGAATAGATATGGAGACATAGTTTCACTGCTTCAAGTGAAAGTGGACCATAATTTGATTAGAGCCATCATTCAGTTTTAGGATCCTTCTTATAAGTGTTTCATTTTCAATGAAGTAGATATGGTACTCACAATTGAAGAGTATATGGTCCTACTTCGCTTTGATTTGCCAAACTCAAACAAGATTTATTGGTCCAACAAGGTGGGTTATCGTAAAAAGCTAGTGCAAATGCTTGGACTTAGCTTGCCTCAAGTCGATGCATGTGTCAAGATAAAAGGTGAAAGTAAGGTTATTTTATGAAATTTTTTACGAGATTTTATCCAGGGGCATATAAATGATGATCAAAGATTAGTGGCTATGGCTATAACTTTATATGGACTGGTGATCTTTTTGAAAGTCATCAGATATATTGATGTTACAGTTGATCAGTTAGCATACCAGGTAAATATAACACCGATTATTTTGACAGAAACCATTCGTTCTATAAACTTTTACTGTAGAAATGGTAAAGGTTGATTTAATGGGTGCCTACAGTTGCTTTAGGTATGGATTAAGAGTCACATGGAATGTAAAGAAAGTTAATTCCATAAATCATACCTTCGCTCCATCATCCCCATCAAAGAGTTTTGTTACAGCACATGACCTCAAGCAAAGACAAAAGAAGAATGGATTTCTTACTTTTGAGCTCTTGATAGTCAAGCAATAGTTTGGAAAGCACTTTGGATGCGTCATGACATAGTGTTATACAGTTGTGAAGATCAACCATAGGTATTCTTATTAGGCCTATGGGGTGCTGTTATTTATGCCTCAATTTTAGTAAGAAGACAGTCCGGATGTGAGCAATTCATTCCATAAACCTATGGACTTAACCAGTAAAAATTCTCATTCACTAATAAAGGGGCACATGGAATGGTTGAAAAGATCAAGAAAGCATGAAAGCAAACCATCAGGGTTAACCAATGGAGGTTTACTTACGATGTCACATCGAAATATAGTGTATGGCATGCGAGGAGAGGAAAAGACATTGTGATTCCTAGAGGAAAGCCTCTTCTTTAGGATCTTTTACTTAAGGTAGAAATAGCAAAGAAAAAATTTCAAATCGAGAAAATGAGCTCAAACAAAAAAACAAGCGATTGAAGTTAGAAATGAAAGAGAGTTTGAAGCTTCAAGAATTGAAAATCCAGAGCCTGACAAAGCAAAAAGATCAATAGAGAGTCTTATTTAATGATCTAGACATGACACATTCATCAGTCACACCTGAGCTTGCTCGACTTTTAAAAGAAAATAAATTGTTAAAAGCAAGGGTAGAGGAAGAACAAAAGGCCATTGTTAGAGCACATAGACATAGCCAAATGCTACAAGAGATAGTGGATTAATGCATAGCACAAGTAGAAGCTTTATATCTAATGAATGCAAAAAATAAGCTCAACAGAGTGAGTTATAAAAAGACATGTGCACAAAAAAACAAAGGCATCTAAGGCATTTGTTTGATCAAATATGCATTGCTGTAGATAAAGCAACAAAAATAAGAGAAAAAGTAAAAAATTTAAAGGC